TTTTTGGATATTCCTGACAGGGGACACAAAGAGCTCATTCCTTGTTTCCCCTAAACATTGGGCATTACCCACAGGGAGCAACTCCACACATCCTTACATGCTGAAAGAGGGACGTGCTCAAGCACACAGCTTAATCATGAACATTATACATAAGTGAATACCCTGTTAGAAAAGCAAGCTCTCTGTGTTTCTTGTCATGAAATCACCCTGCATCTCACAGGAAAGGTACCAGTGCAGCATTTGTTCTGTTTTAGTTGCCTGAGATTTTTCATGTGGAAAGCTTTCCAATTGAAAGATACAGTGCTGCCAAAAAAACATTTTTAATGAAAAATGCCAGTTCCAATAGAAAAAAAATCAATCATTTAAAAACGTTGGAAGATTCTTTTTTTTTTCTTTTGGTTCGGTTTTTAAGAAAAATGGAAATGAAAAATGAAAATGAAGTCTTGCACAGTTATCCACGTCCTTGACTGTGGGGAGAACACATTGCCTCCTAGGTAGACTTGCCCTTTTCCTGTGAAAGGGAAGACATTTTTTTTCAGGAATGCCACTGACACTGATGGTTTTCCCCCAGTCAGTCAGAACTGTGACTCGCATCCCTTTGGGGTGTGAGCAGGAGCAGCTTCTTGCCAAAACCAAACAAATAAGCAGCATTTGGATAGGAAATGTGCCCAGTCAGGTCCTCTGTAAATGTGTTCAGAGGCAGGGTGTTACCTAAAGAGCTTTCACAGGTGTGTTGCCCGGGGAGTTGATGTTCATGAATGATTATGTTTGGCATTTGGAAAATATTTTTCCTCTTGAAACCAAACACCAAACACCAGCTGGTTCATGCACAGTAACCCAGGTGGGTAAGTCTTTCAACTCCCTTATATGAATGGGGAAACTGAGGAGCAGAAAGATCTTTGTGGCTTTTTCAGGTCCTCACTGTGAATATCTTTGGAGAATCTGTAAGGTATTTTTGCTCCCTATTCTAAACTAAAATGAGGAAATAATGCTGCTTTTTTATGCCCCAAATGCTCAATAAGAAGCAGTGAATTGAGAATGCAGAGACTTGCATTTTAAAGCTACTAACTTAAATAGAGAAGCTTAAAAAGCAATTCTAAACTAAACTGAGGGCAATAACTAATGTAAGGATCTGATAGACTAGAAATTATCTCTGTTAGGTGGTCTCTCAGCTAAGCATTTCTGTATTAGTTATGTCAGCTTTTGGTTTACAGGAGTTACAGGAGCTGCACTGTGCTTTACAGCCTCAGCATCCTTGAGTATGGAGGAAGGTTTGACACTGAGATCTTCAGACTTCCCATAGTTTTTTACCAGTGTAAGAGAGCAGAAACTGTGCCCAAAAAGCTTTTTGCACTGCCTGTGGACTGCTACCAAGTGAATGCTCGGTTTAGTCTCTGTGCCAGTGTCTGCAAAGAGTCCTGATTTCAAATGGCATGAGAGAGAACTGTGGAGGTGCTGAGAGAGGGGACTAATTAGAGATTATGAAAGAGAGATTAAAATCCTGTGGGCCTTTCTACAGGGTTAAACGGCCAAATGACACATCCTCTCCCGTGAGAGGGCAGGGAGTTGAGACACCTCCTGTAGCTTTTGTACTAAGCCTAAAGGAAAACAGTTTTAAGTTGCTCCTAGTTACTTGTCTGTGGGGACTTCTATATCCCTTGATTAGTACCATGATTTAAAAGGGATCATGAATTTGCCCTCTTCCCCTGGCCTTGGTGCCCCAACACAAACTGTCCTTGAGACGATCACAGAAATTCGCCCCCTGCCTTTTTTACAGTTTCTATTTTTTTTAACTTTCTTTCTAAGTCTGATGTCAAATACATTATCTTAAACACTTTCAATTTTAAGTAGTGAAAAGAGGAGAAACAGCAACTCTGTGGGAATATTTTAAGGGGATTCTCATCCAATATAAAGACAATAGAGGAAGAGGCTGATGTGTAAATTATGGCCAAGAGGTAAAAGAAAGTGAAAGAAAAGAAAGATAAATTACAAAAAAGGGTTTTACTACAGCAGAAGACAAAGAACCTCTTGCTAATCTCACACTGCTTTTACTCTGGTGTAATGAAAGGAGGGCTCATGTGTAAAAGTTAAACACCACAGGAATAATGTTTGGTACTATGCAAAACAAACACTGGTCTTCTGAGAAGAAAGAGCAAAACTAAAAGAGGGCAAGTAATAGCATTTCATGTTTCCAAGCTGTCAAGAATAGTCCTTTGATCACTTTTATCAAAAGCTGTACTGATTGTCTTCAGCTAGGACTGGTTTTGAAAATATTAACTCTCCAGGGTTCTATTTTGTTTTCTTCTAAATCTAAAGGCAGTGTAATAAAAGGGTCATTGGAACTGGATGTAGATAAGGTTTTGCAGCCTGATCCTGTGAAATGTTGGCTTTTCTCAAGGTAATGCAGTTCAAGGGTTCTTAGCAGATTTCTCAAAGCTTAGGAAACACGTTTTCAAAATGTTGATCAAATCCCTCCCTTTGAAGGCAGTGAAATGAAGTGGCCAGATTGACTTCTATTCTACCTTTACAAGTGTTTAGTTAAGAAAAAAGCACCCTCTGGTTGATTAGGAGGAAAGGTCTGTTTCCACCTTAAAAAAACTTTGTTTACCCATGTCAGGAAGGCTAAAATAGTACTCCAGGTACAGAGATGGGTGACAAAGCACTGAATGCCACATGTCCCAGAAGAGATGAAATAGATGAATAATTTCAGCACAGAAAAAACACATGGGTACAAGAACACAATGATGTCTATGACAAAAGTGTGGTGGCTATTGGGAGGGAACAGGAAAGTGATATTCACTTTGTCATGATAAAAGAAGTCAATATCAAATGGAATTATCTAACCATAGGAATTTTAAAAAAAACCTCAACAAAACAACAACAGCAAAACCCTTTGTCACAAAAGCAGATTGATTAAGCTCTGGAACTCATTGCTGCAAGACAGTGGAGAGATCAGAGTTGTAAGATGGTTAAAAGAGCATCTAGACAAACTCCTTGATGGGAGATCTGTTAGGACTATTAATACAAGTTGTAATTTCCTGCAGCTGGGAAAGTGTATTGGAGGAATATCACTGTATGGTTCTCTTATATATCCATCAAAGCTGGAATCCAGAGTCAGATGTATTTTGACCCAGTACAGCTGCTGTTATGTTCCTAGGAAGAAAATGAACGTCAAGTATTGCTTTGCAATCTGTCTGGAATGCCTTTGGTAAAAGGAGCAGAGAAAGGATAATGCTAAAATCACTGATGGCCACTAAAAGGTGGGAGCATCAGCACTCCTACCTCCACATGCAAAAATGTATCACTGTCGTGCCATCAGATTTTTATGTTTTCATCCTTCCCATTATAGCATTTACAGAAGTGATTTGATTCAGCTGTGAGTGATTCAGACATTCCTCCCTGTGAGGGTGGGGAGGCCCTGGCACAGGTTGCCCAGAGAAGCCGTGGCTGCCCCAGTCCTGGAAGTGTCCAAGGTTGGACAGGGCTTGGAGCAACCTGGACTAGTGGAAGGTGTCCCTGCCCATGGCAGGGGGTGGAACTGGATGATCTTTAGGTCCCTTTTAACCCAAACCATCCTATAATTCTATCTCTTGTGTATTTATGCTGAGTACTGGCAATATTCTTACACGGTTTTCCTTGAATGTCATATTGTAAGGAAAAGAAAATTATTGAATAAGTAGGAGGCAATAGGTTTAAAGACGAATGAGTGATTCATATGTGTCTGGGATTTTAACTGTAGGAAGGCTCCCTGTATGTCTCCTCTGGGCATATCAGCATTTGCAGTTAACATGCAGCCCTTACAATTTGAAGCAGAGTATAAAGACTGGCCTTGTTTGAAGGTTTTGCAGCTGAATCATTGTATGGCCTTTGGCAAGTTACACCATGGGTCAGCTGAAAGTTTTGTTCCTAAATGGGAGAGGATTTTAAACCCTCTGTTTTTGCTTAGACCTGATTTCAACACTTCCTGAACTTTACCACATCAGCTCACGTGCATAGGAATATCTGAAGCTTTGGATAAAAGTGCCATCAGGTGCAGACTTGCCAAGAATTTTGCCCACTCGCCCTTCCTTGCATTCTTGTTATGGAACAAGTGCCAAATCACTCAAGTTAACCACAAGGGTGCTGTCTCTGCCCCTCAGAAAGCAACTGCCTGGAAAATCCATCTTCTCTGGTAACAGGACTTGTCTAATGGTCAAAACCATGGCAGAACAAGATCTTCCTAAGGCAAGAAGATTATGTTATAAATTCAAGGACTCTTATCCATAAAGTGGAAATTTTCAGATATGCTGTGAAATCAAAGGGGTCTCTGGCACATGTTTCACAGCTGAAGTAGTTGAGTGAAGGTTATTCCTCCTTTGTGAAGAGACTAGACAAAAACAGCCCTAAAGCAAACGAACTGGGATTTGGCAGCCTCTGTCCAGACTTGAGAACAGATGTTGAACAGGATGTCAGGAGAGAAGAGATTGCTAATTTTATAGTTAGGAAGTGTTTTGGAGAAATTCAGTGTGGAGACCAGGTCAACCTGCAGTCAGAAAGCTCACATGCTCATTTTCATGATTTACACACACAGAGTTCGAGCTGTCTCTGGGTTACAAGGAGGGAAGGTTGTCTTATGACCAGAGCTCCAGCCACCTTTAATGGGGGGAACCAGTCACTGCAATGAGAAGCTCTTTAAAGGCATGTGGGACTCTTAGTGAAGCTGATCACCTGATTTTTGGTATTGTACCTCATCTACAAGGTGACTTGCTCACTGCTTGAATCAGAAAACTCCTCTGTGTGCAGACTGGTTGGAAGTGTGCTTGAGCAAATGCTTGGGACCTCTTCCTGTTAGTTGTTGACTTAAGTTACACTGACATCACTAACACAGTTCTCAGTTAACCTTGGCAGCACCACGTGGAACTGTAAGAGAATGCTTTTCACATTAGTGCGTCCTTACCTATGGTTAGGAATGTTTTTTTTACCATAAAATCTTACACTTTGCCCTACTAATTTGCTAACAGGGAGCACCTGGCTCATGCTTTGCAGCAGAAGACCCCAGTTCTGCAGGAGACCCTGCACTGCCAGCTCCCCACCTCGCCTGCAGTGCTCAGTGGGGGCATGTTTGGAGTTACTGTGTGAACCAACACATGCCTTATTCCTAATACAATACAAGTTTTGTATTAGGAAGATCATTTTTGGTACGTGTTTCATGACACCTGTTCTGAGGATTGCTACAGCCACAAATCTGAAATGCCTTGGTTTCTTCAGGGATCCTGAAACCACGCTCAGCACAAGGTAAATAAGATGCATATGAAGTGCTAGTGTGTGAAATCTGAGTGCTCTGCTTCCCCTGCCTGATGTTGTTACACTTTCTGAAGGGTCCCTCACCAAGGCAGCTTTCAGATCTAAATTTTCCTTGGGGTTGCTCTGAGATTTTCTCCAGATCCTAATGTAACCCACTGTGTTCCTTACTCCCTGAATTCCTGTGGTATTATCATGTGTTTGTAAATGCTGACGTCCACTCTGCATGGCCAGTTATGGATCCTTACTCTCCCAGTGATAAAGAACACTGGGTAACAGCCACCACAGAGCTTTCACACACTTGCCATCCGACCAAAATGCATTTTTCTGTCCATTGCTTACCTTGCAGACTGATGTTCTTCAGCACTAGGATTAATAGCTGAAGATTACCAGTTATATTTGAGATAAAAAACTGGTTAAAATTCTTTTAACAATATAACAGATTTGGTGGCAAATGCCCCCAGCTCTCTCTTTGAAGGACACCACACAAAATAGCTGTTTATTTTAATAATGGTAATTGTGCTTCTAATAAGCATCTTGTTTAGTAATTTGCAGAGGTTGTGTACGTGCATTTCTATAAACAGGGATATTTGTTCAAGTTAAGCCTAATTAAAAAAGAAATGAGCAAGAGTTATTTGAAGGTAACAGTCTATCCTGATTCAGTATTTCCATTTGGTGGAATGAGACTTGCAATTACTCCGGAGGAAAAAGTCCTTAGGGATTTAGATGAGAATGATTAGGATGATGTTAATGACATATTGCCAATAGTAAATAGCTCATTTAAGTCCCATATGGAAATAGGCCCAATTAACAGAACTAGAATTTTTTCAAAACACACGTATTGACAAAAAATATTCTAATCTGCATTACTTACTGCTCCTTTACTTATTTTTTTAAAAGCTTAAAGATTTTTCTTCACCTAAAACCCAACAGATACTAGGAAAATTGATCATCCTTTGAAGACCAGACAGTTGGTACTGGTCACAGGATGTAATGCACAGTTAATATAGTAACCCTTAGGTTCGCAAATATTTTGTTCTAATGTATTTTTTGTGATAATTTATCTCAGCTCATTTAATGTTATTGTTTTGTTGTTGTTGTTGTTTGTTTATTTGTTTGTTTTTTAACCTAAGTTCTCTATTTTTCTCAGACCAGGGTTCATGCTCTACTTTGAAAACTGTGTCTTACTTCTTGGCTTCCCTTGGTGTGCCTCCCTCAGTGAGACTGGATACCTTTTTGTTGGGCATCAGGAGTCAGAAGGAGTTGGGAAAAATTCCTTTAAAGGCCCAAGAATATTTTATTACTGTTCTGTTTTTGTACCTCCATCTGCTGATATCACTTCCACCCAGTATCAAGATTCCTCATGTGACTCTTTTCCTTATCCATCAATTAGCATGTCACGACTACGGGAAGCACCACAGCACAAACAGAGCTCAAACACCTCTAATGCTGCTAAAAGATTTATGCCAGTTAAGTATTTGTCTCCCTCTCTGCTTTCCGTACATAAGATGATGTGGGTCTGAAAGCAGCCACAAAGAAACCCTTGTCTATTATTGCTCTGTCCTGAAACCTGGTGAATATTCGAGCATCTTTTTCACTTCGACACAGTTTTTAGCTGAATTGCTAATTTCTAAGTAGATTTCGGGAATAAATATTTCTATACTCACTGTTATTACTTTTAGAACAAACTTTACAAGGCTTTTCAGGTTTCCTGTTCAGCTGATCTCCCAGTTGGGATTGCTGGATTAGCTCTCCCCAGTGCACTGCGCTTGGCAACTTTCTGAGAAACAAGAATTCAGCTGACACAGTCTGATTCTACAGCTTGCAGAGAGTTTGTCCCAGTGATATCTGCCACCACTTTCATTAGGATTTGATGCTATTCAGTGTTTTCCAGAGATTCTCAAGAGTCATCCTTTATTTGTCCTGATACCGTATTAAAATAAGTATTGTAAGAATTGTAATTCCAAATTGTATGAAGTCAGTAATAAATAGTCCTAATTAGTAGACAGAAATAAATTACTTTAATCTAAACTACATGAGCACAAGAAACAGATGGTCTTAAGTGCAAATAATTCTCTTTTTTATAACAAGCTATTTTTCCCTTTTTAATATCTATCACTGCAATACAATTTTTTTTTATTTGCTGAACATGTTTTCAGTGAATTGCAAACTACTTGGGAGTGCTGCTCAAATTCTCCTAAGAAAGACGTGGCTCTTGTTAATTAAATTGATCTATTTTAATTAATATCAGTATTCACAGTCCCAGAGGAATAAAGGAAGGAAACCAGTTTGTTTCCTTCCTTTATTCCTCTGGGACTGTGAATTCTGTGTACGTAAGGAGGATTTAGCCCTTTTGAACCAAAAAAACTGTTTTTAGACAGATCTGCATTGTATTCATAGCAGGCATTTGCTACAGCATTTCTACAACTCATTCATAAATCTAATCTATGGTCTGATTCACTTAGTCCAAAGTGTGTTGGACTACCAAGAATTTTGTATACAGCATGAAGTACTTGCAGAGCAGGTCATATACTTCAGAAGAGCATCAGACCGACCCAGTGCATAATTGAAATATGCAGTATGGCTGCAGAAACCCTCATTTTTGTCTAGAAACTGTGCAATTGTGCAGCCAGGCTGCCACAGCCTATCCATGTGCACACACTAAATCTGATGCATCTCAAAAATCCCACTTTGCACACAACCTGGCTGTGCTGTGCAATAAACTTCTTCCCAGAAGCTTCAGGCTGACTGTGCGTGTCCTAACGTACTGTGTGTGGCTCAGTAATGCTCACTGAGCCTGCCTGGGGAGTCCTAAGAACATACATGTCAGACCTAAATAAAGCTGTGACTTCTCCAGCCTCTCTGTGCTCTGCATTTTGTCCAGTGGTCACAATCACCCAGTCCAACCACTGGGTGGAAGGACCAGGGAAATGGAATTCTGCCACCCGTTCCTCCCCCTTCCAGGCACTGAGCTCTGGCTGGGAGAGCTGGACAGCATGGGGCTCTTTTGTATTCGGAATTGTCACACATAGCACTTAGTATTCACTAAAAAGCTATTGATTTCTCTCCCTCAAGTCCTAAACCTCCTTGTAAATCAGTACATTTCATCGAGTGAAGCACTGGAAAATAATAAGAAATCCTGGATCGAGCAGCTTCTCTAAAAACACACCAGCCCCCTGCCCAGGGCCCAGTGCTGCTGACCTGCTGTGCCATCAGTGCTGCAGCCCACAGGCACGGGTCCTGCTCTGATTAAAGGTGTTACCATGTGCAAGATTCAATCTCACCTCATACTTACATCCAAAATGAGACGATATTATTCAGTGCTTGACTCCGTTTGAACTCACATCTGGCTGGGGAACTTCAAAGAGCACAGGAAACTTCCGTGGATTTGCTCCCAGAGTTGATGCTTGGGCTCTGTTCTGTAGGCACAGTGGGGACAAGAAGCAGGCTTACACAGCTCAGCTTGGGTTTGCAGGTGCCGGGTTGTTTTCTGAGGTTGTCTGACCGATGTAGTTGAACTTCCAGCACAGCTTCTTCTGGAGTCTTTGCTGGCTGTGGTGTGAGGTGCATGAAGTCAGAGGGTGTGGAACCTCCTTCCTCCTCATCTTGTTTTCATCTGGGAAGATTTTTTCCTTTCAGACAGATGCAGATCTGAAACTCAGATTCAGACAGATTCTATCTGGAATTCTCTGTTTTCAGAGGCTCCAAATGGCTAATTCTTCAGATTTGGGATACCTCAACTGCTTAAAAAAAGTCCTATATTTAGACTATATCCTTGTGACAGCACCTTAGGACCCTCCAGCCTGTGTTGTTTGCTCTGGGAAGCTGATCCAAATGCTGCTTAGCCAAGATGGAAGTACCAGCTGGTTGTTCTTACTGTTTGCCCTACCTCTATCTGAGCACCCTAATCCTCCCCAGATTAGAGCACTGGAAAAGGGCTTGTTTGGTAAATGTGTGTTTGGTGTTGCCTGCAATCTGTCACTGGGGCCAGTGTTATACAAGCAGAGAACAGGGAGTCATCCTTTATGTCTGAGGAGATTTCCCATGAGAAAAAAAAACCCACATTTAAGTCGACCTGACCCACTCTCTTTCCCCCAGTCTCTCTTCACAGAGTTCAGATTCTGAACCTGCTTCTACTGGGTGGCTTATGTTAATACTCACCTACTGATCAACGAGGCTGGCAGGAAAAAAATCAAAGAGAATGTCAGAAAACAGGAGCATGATTCTGTTCCCTGCTGGAGAACTCTTCTCCTATCTTGTCAGAGTTACAGAGACACGATATGGGTCGTAGACAACTCTCTCTACTGACAGTTGTTGCTTTTGGGATTAGATTGATATTTGCCCGTACCTGGGAATTAGCAGAACAACTGCCTGCAGGAATATATTTTAGAGGTGATTTCCTATCAGTGCAGGATGCTTCTGAATTTAATTCTGCTATTCAAGACACCACTTACTTTTTTTAATACTTAAAGCCTTGTGCACTGCTCACAAGAAATCCTGCAGGTATAGAGAAAACAGAAGAATACACATTAGAGGATTGGACATAATATGGATTGTGAAGTCTTATGTTAAACAGGAAAACGTATTTTTTGAGATGTTTTGCAAAGAAATTTTGCACTTGGCAGGGTATTTAAGTTACCTGTCATTTACACCTTGAAGATCAGCAGAGAAAACCTAATAATGCTCACACTCTTAGGAATGATTGTCTTTGTAAAGCAGATATCTTTGCAGCTTTATACAAGGAAAAAAATGTCAGGAATGTCATCTCCAATAGCTTCTTTATGAATTGCAAGTGGCTTAATTTCAAAGGACCAAAGTGAATAGCTTATTTTCTTTCTATTTCTAAAGCCTTTTCTGCTCCGCTCCGAGAAAAAAAAAAAAACAACAACGGTCAAATATTTTATGCCGTTCCACAGTGAATGTTTAAAAAAA